GGACCGGGCCCACAACCTGAGCTTGTGCCCTGACTAGGAATCAAACCAGCAACCTCTTGATGCATGGGTCGATGCTCAACCAGTGAACCACACCAACCAGGCTAGTGTATTATTCTTTTTATATGTTGCTGGATTCTGTTCGATAGTATTTTGTTTAGGATTTTTATATTTATTCATAATGGATAGTTTTTATTTTGTTGGATAGTTTTCTTTTCATGAGATTTTTTTTGTCTTCTTTTATTTTTTTAATGTTTTTATTGATTTTAGAGAGAGAGGAAAGGAGATGGAGAGAGAGATAGAAACATCAATGAGAGAGAAACATTGACATTGATTGGCTGTCTCCTGCCTGCCATCTGCTAGGGATTGAACCCACAACCTGGGCATGTGTCCTGACCAGGAATCGAACTGGCAACCTATTGATCCATAGGCCAACACTCAACCACTGAGCCGTGCTGGCTGGCCAATTTTTGTCTGTTTTTAATATCAGGCTACTTATTGGCCTCATAGAATGAATGAGGTGTTTCTTAGAGTTTGTGAAGGATTGGTGTTAATTCTTCTTTAAATATCTGACAGTATTCACCAGTAAATGTCTGTCCCTGGGCTTTTCTTTGTGGCAAGTTTTTGGTTATTGATTTAATCTCTTTACTCGTTATAGATCTGTTCAGATTTTCTGTGACTGCTTGAGTCAGTTTGGTAGATTGTGTCTTTCTAGGAATTTGACCATTTCATCTAGGAGGTCTAATTCGTTGATGTATATTTTATGGTATTTCCTGATTATTGTTTTGGGTTTTTTTTGTGTGTGTTAATGGTGATGTCTTTTCCTTCATTCCTGATTTTAGCAACTTAAATCTTCTCTAATTTTTTTCTTGAGCAGTTTTCATTTTTCTGTTCTCTATTCTCTATTTTTCTTTTCTAACCTTTTATTTATACTTTGGGTTTAGTTTTTAATTCATTTTTTCATAAGTTGGAAGGTTATGTTCTTGGGTCATTGATATGAAAAAAAAATTTAACAATATGTGTTTACAGCTGTAAATTGCCTCTAAGCACTGCTTTAGCCACATCTCATACCTTTTAGTATGTTGTGTTTTGCTGTTCATTCAACGTTTAGTGTATTTAGATAACTCTTGTGACTCCTTCTTTTACCTATTAGATATTTAGGAGTATGGTTTTTTATTTTCACATTTGTTAATTTCCCAAATTTCATTTTGTTACCAATTTTTTTATTATTAATCTAATGTTCAAAAACATACTTTGTATTTTAAAAGTCTAAGTTGAGACTTGTTTTGTGACATAACATATGGTCTGACTTAGAGAATTTTCATGTGCATGTGACAAAAATATACTATTTTTGGGGGGTAGAGTGCTTTATTTATGTCTGTTAGGTATAGTTGGTTTATGTCTTCTGCTTATTGATCTTTTGTCTATTTTTTAATCCATTATTAAAAGTGATCTATTGATGTCTCTAATTATTACTATTAAATATTCTATTTCTTCCTTTAATTCTGATAGTTTTTTTTTCTTTCTATATTTTGGATTGAACCTTTATCATTATAAAATGACCTCTGTTTCTAATGAAAATTTTGTCTTAGAATAGATTTTGTCTGCTATTAGTATAACCTCCCTAGCTCTCTTTTGGTTACTATTCACATACTATTTTCATCCTTTCTTTTAACATGGTAATGTCTTTGCATTTAAAGTGTCTTTTTTGACAGCATATAGCTAGATTATTCTTTTAATCTATTTTGCCAATTTCTTCCTTTCCATTTATATTTAATGTAATTACTGATAAAGTAGGATTTTCATCTGACATTTTACTATTTATTTTCAATATTTTATTTCTGTCTCCATTATTACTTTTTTTGTGTTAAATAAGAATTTTCTAGTGTACCATTTTAATTATTTTGTTGTTTCTTTTACTATATGTTTTTCAGTTACTTTCTTAGTGGTTGCCTTGGGGGGATTATAAGTAACATTTTAATAAACAGCAATCTAGTTCAGCTTAGTACCTACCTAATTTCATTAGTATACAGAAAGCTTGAGTCTATATGTGTTCATTCCATCTCTCCTCCTTTATGTTATATTGTCCTTTATGTTACATCTTTAGACATTGTCTCAACCAAGACAGACTCATAATTATTGCTTTGTGCATTTATCTTCTAAATTAGATAGGAAAGAAAACATTACAAACAAAAAATACATTTTTCATTTACAAATACATTTATACTGTATTTTACCTAATAGTTACTGTTCTGGTGGTTATTGTTTGTGTGGATTTGCTTTACTGTTTAGTGTCCTTTCATTATATCGGGTCAGCTAGCAAAAAAATAGAACTGTTTTTGTTTATCTGAGAATGTCTAAATTTCTCCTTTTATAAAGGATAGTTTTGCTGAATATAGAATTCTTGGTTGACATTCTTTTTCTTTCAATTCTTTGAATATGTCAGACTTCTGGCCCTCATAAACTCTGATGTGATATTGGCTATTAATCTCATTGAGGGTCCCTTGTTTGCGATGAGTTGATTTTTTCTTGTTGCTTCAAGATTGACTCTTAGTCTTTGATTGATCGATTAGAATGCATCTAAATGTGTCTAGATGTATCCAAATGTTTCTTTTTTTTCATTCTCCTTGGAGTTCATTGGACTTTTTGGATGTGTTTATAAATGTTTTTTATAAAATTTGGGACATTTTAAAAAATATTTGTGCCTTTTTCATCTCCTTCTAGGACTACCATTTGTGTATGTTGGTACACTTGATAGTGCCCCACAGGTCTCTGAGGATCTGTTCAGTTTTCTCTCTTTTTTAGATTGAGGTTTTTTGTTTTCGTTTTTTGTTTTCGCCTCACCAGAGGATATCTTTTTGATAGAGCGGGACAGGGAGAGCAAGGAAGAGAGAGAGAGAAGCATTGACATGAGAGAGAGACATCGATTGGTTGCCACCCGCACAAACCCAGCCGGGGCTGGGAATGACCCGCAACTGAGGCACGTGCCCTTAGCAGAAATCGAACCCGGGACTCCTTGGTCCGCGGGCAGATGCTCTAACTGCTGAGCCAAGTTGGCCAGGGCTCTCTCTTTTTTAAAAGAGAACTTAGTTGTTATCTTCCTTTCTTTTTGTTTTATTTCCTCTTTTCCTCCTTTTTTCTTTCTCTTCCTTTTTTCCTTCCTGCCTGCTTGCCTTTCTTCCTTTATTCCCTTCTTCCCCTCCTCTCTTTTTCTTCCCATTCTCCCCTGAGGCTGAGTAAGCTCAGCTGGTCTAATTTCAAGTTCACTGATTCTTTTTACTACCAGCTGAAATCCACTATTGTATCCATCTAGTGAATTTTGCATTTTAGTTAGTGTACTTTTCAACTCCAGAATTTCTGTGTGGTTGTTTTTAAAAACTTTCATTTATTTATATTTTTTATTTAGTGAGATAGTCTTCTGATGCTTTCCTTTATTCCTTTATACATGGTTTCCTTTAGTTCTTTGAACATATTTTAAATGGCTGATTTAAACTTTTTGTCTAGTAAGTCCAATATCTCAGCTTCCTCAGAGACATTTTCTATTGACTTTTTTCTCCCTATGTATGGACCATTCTTTCTTTGTATTTTTCATGATGTTTTGTTAAAAAAAAAACTGGATATTTTAAATAACACAATGTGACAGCTTTGGGAATCAGGTTATCCCTCACCTCAGAGTTTGTTGTATTGCTGTATATTATTATTGTTTGTTTAGTGATTTTTCTGAACTCATTTTGTGAAGTCACTTTCCATATATTGTGTGGCCACTGATATTTCTTAGTTTGCTTAGTGGTCAACTAATGATTGAACAGAGATGTCCTTAAATTTCTAGAACCATAAGATTCTCAGTGTTTGCCTAGGAAGTGTGTGTGTGTGTGTGTGTGTGTGTGTGTGTGTGTTAGAGAAGGCTACCTCAGAATTGGCATGGGAGGATGTTTAATAGAAATGCTGTATAGCTTGTTGTTTTTACCAAGATTTAGCCAGTGTTCTTGAGTAGGCACTTCCTTGAAAGATTTTAGTTACTTCCAGAGTTCTTTGTTTAGTGGGAAATTCCTCCCACAAAATGAAAATGAATAATTCACACGAGACCCGCAACATTATTAAGAAGGTCACATTTGAAGAAAACCCATCAGCTTTCTGAAACATATTTTCCTGGTTGTTCCCTGATTTGGTCTTTGTTCACTTTCTTTTTTATCCTCACCCGAGGATATTTTTCCATTTTTTGTACAGATAGAGTGGGAGGGAGAGAGAGGAAGGGAGAGAGAGAGAGAGAAACATCGACGTGAAGGGACACATCGAGTGGCTGCCACCCGCACGACCAACCAGGGCTGGGGACAAACTGCAACCGAAGTACGTGCCCTTAGCGGGAACCGAACCCGGGTCTCTCCGGACCGCAGGCCCACGCTCCAACCGCTGAGCCAAACCGGCCAGGGCTTTGTTCACTTTCTTAATTTTAGACTCATTGGCCATCTGTATTAACTGAAAATTTTCAAAACAATCAAGACCTGGTTTCTTTTTGTTTAATTGTCCTTTCTTTAGTATATCTCTTCTTACATTTCACTATAATTAGCAAGAGGAAAACAAAATCATGTAAACACTTTGCTTAGAAATTTCCCTAGATTGATTACCCAATTCATTATGCACTTTTTTACTTTCCAAGTTATTGAGGACAAGTGTTGTCTTCGTGCCACAACATAATAAGTATATTCTTTCCTTCACTTTCCAGTAACATTTACCTCATTTTCCTTCAAGTCTTCACCCTTCAAGCTTTATCAAAGACCATGAGGCTTCTATTAACAATTTCTTCAAGGTACTTCAGACTTATATTTAATACTTTCCCTAAAGCCCACTGTCTGGTTTTAAAGCCACACTTACATTTTAGGTTTCAATTAAAAGCAGCTTCCCACTAATATATACCAAAATCTGTATTATTTATCTGTTACTATTTAACAAATTATTTCCAAAATTTAGCCGTTTAAAATAACAAACATCTATTATCATCTTACATGTTCTTTGAGCCAGAAATCTGAGAATGGCTCATCTGGATATTTCTGGTGCAATTTTTCACTTGGCAGCGATCAAGGGGTCAGGTAGGGTTGCAGTCATCTGGGATTTGACTGATCTGGAGTATCTTCTTCCAATTTCATTCATTTGGCTGTTTACAGGAGAGACTTCAGTTCATCTCCTTATAAGACTCACCATAGGGTTGCTCACAGTATGGCTTTCTCCAGAGTAAGTAATGAGAGAGAGAGAGAGAGAGAGAGAGAGAGAGAGAGAGAGAGATTGATTGATTGCAAGGATGCAGTAGGGTTAGGGACGGGAGGAGGCATTGTACATCAACATTCAGGATTATCCAAGATAGAACACACACTCACACACACACACACACCCTAATATCAGAAATGAGGTGCACTTCTGCAGTATGCTATTAATCACACATACCACTCCTGATACAATGTGGAAGGAACTATATAGTAGTAGGAAGTCAGGAGGTGGAAATCATTGAGGACAATCTTGGCTACCACAAAGAACATCTTAAACTTTTAAATTAGTTAAATTTGAAAAATGAAAAGACAGGGCAAAAATAAGTTCCTTCAGTCTTCTTGAGGGCAGTAGACACCATTTCCATGGAGCAACATTCTATCTTCTAGCCAAGAGTTTATTATTTGCCTGACCTTTTAAAACACTTGAGTTTATAATCCCTGGCCTAGATCTTTAATCAACTCATTTGCTTTTGTAATTATAACAGCTTGTACATGTATTTAGAAGACTCATTAGCTAATTAGCAGCTGAGCAGCATTATTATTGTCTGTTTCTCATTTTTATTTTATTTTTGCCAAGTCCTTTGGTCTCACACATAGACTTATTCTCCAATATAAAGGGACAAAAACTGAGCAGGTGAATAGATTAGAGTAGTGCTATCTATTCTGCTTTAAATTAGCTCTAAACTCAGTGCTAACGTAGAGCCCAAATCATATTTTATGTGTCTGATTATGTTTTTGTTCTTTTTGGAAAATGTAATTATTTTGACTTTATAAGGTGACGTTAGTCAATAAATTGCAGGACACTTAACCAGAATACCTAGAAGTATACATTCAGTATCTCCTTTTAACACATAATGTGAAGCAAAATTTGGTTTGTGAAAAGGTGAAGAATGTTCACAGAAACCTTCAGTGATTCCTGGAGGTAATAATCAAGAAATGGTATAAACTGGAATCCTTATGGGCAACATGGAAATTTTTTGTTTTGGTAAATCACTTTAGTTAGGTTATATGTGCTAATATTATTTATTTTAATCCAAAAAATATGGGCTTAGATATATTGTGTCCTTTTTATTTTCCTAGTTAATTAATACTTTTATATTTGCCTTAATATTTTTACTTATTTGACATCTTGTGATTTAAATAAAATATAATTGCTCAGTTTGCATCTTTTTCTCTTGTTATTTCCACTGTAACTTAAGAGCCAACGTTTAGCACACTATTAAAATGTCAAGTCTTTTATCTGCAATCTCTTATAACCTTAAAATATGCTGTGAGCAAATGATTTTCAAGGTTATGTTATTTCCAGTTTTGTGAACAGAGAAACTAAAATGGAGTTTTAGTTTCTAGCCTAACTTCATAAATATGGCTAAGATTCCAACCTATAAGCTAAGTCAATTTTTTTTTCAGTACCCTCAAACCAATACTGCTTCTCTTCCCTTCTTGCATTTTCGAATCAGGAATCTATAACAATAAATGCTAGTTAAAAGACTTGCCTTAAACATAGACAACAATGCTGGGAGTGGGGGGCGGGGATCAGGGGAAGGTTGTCAATGGGGGAAAAAAGAGAAACATCTGTAACAAAAATATATTAGTAAAAATTACCAAAAAAATTGCCTTCAGATGTCTTAGCAAGTTTTCCAGCTTATACTGAACCCCTAAACTAAAAAGACTTGGCCCTTCAGTCTCAAACAGCCCTGGATAAGTACAGACCTATTCACTTATCACTGATCTGCCTGGGTAAGAGTTGAAGCATTTAAGGAGCAGTGAACTAGTATCTCAGGAAGTAGGGCCACTTCTAGGAGGAAGAAGTGTGGAACCTAAGCAAGTATGCTTAGTCCTCCTTTCCAGTTTACCAGCCGTTCTACCTCTGAAGGAGCAGAGTAAATAAAAGCATTGGATTGAGGCCAGAAGTATATGTGTAAAAAGCCACCACCAACTCCCTCTCCCTAATACCAACATTTTTATCATTATTACATACTGTGACTATAACTGATCCGTCCTTATTCCATACCTCTCTTAAAATCGTTCAACTATTTTGACCTCTTGTGCAAGTTTCAAGTAGAATTTTAGATCACTGCTGGTCTTCATTATAGTTGTAGCTGATCAACATGTTTGGGAATCAAGGATTAATTAAGATCCTTATTAATAATATTACCATTTTTATAGGAGAATCTTAGTAGATGCTTATAGAAACATTTAGGAGTGAAATGTCATAATTCTATAATTTACTTCTAGTGGTTCCGCAAACCAAAAACAGGTAGTGAATGTGGCAGAATACTAACAATTCTTGAATCTTGGTTGAGGCTGTCTGTGATTGTACTGTTCTTTATTTTTTCGGATTGAAATTTCTCAATATAAAAAGTTGAGGAAAGAAAAAAATCCTTGATGATGATGTTCAAATTGTATAGGAAATGCATATTTGACAGAATTGAAGAATTTAATGGTAATTAACAGTTATGAGAGTTTAAATTGTTTTAGTAATTAATGCATACACTTAGTATATTAAGTTAAACATTGATTACTTATATATACAATTTATATTCACATACTAAAATGTTTTAGTATCTAGTAGAATACATTTAAATTAAAACTCTAATAATAAGATATAGAACTTAACTTTCTATGTCTAATTCCTCATCTGTATTTTAGTTTGTGACCAAAAATGTTTATTTTTAAGAAATGATTAAATATGCCAAGTTTGGGATTGATGTATTATAATACTAATTACATCTACAAGGTTTCTATTTCTAAGTCCTAGAAACCATTGGCAGTTATGGACTGATACTAGAAAGACTTCTGAAATCATTAATTTGTAATAAAAATACGATAAGTTTAAAAATTGGTATATTTGCATTTCAGTTTTTAATGCTTATTATATTTATTTCTTCTCTAGATCTTCCTCACAACTGTGATCCTAACATTCCCCTAGTTGCTCAGGAATTAATGAAAAAGATGATACGTCAGTTTGCAATTGAGTATATTTCAAAAAGTGGTAAAATTCAAGAAAATAGAAATGGTTCAATTGGACCAAGTCTAATATGTAAAAGTATCCAAATGAATCAAGCAGAAAACTCCCTTCAGGAAGAACAGGAAGGCCCCTTAGACCTCACTGTGAATCGAATGCAAGAACAAAATACTCAGCAAGGTAAGACTTTCTGTGTTTGTGTAATACATAATTTTATGTTTTAGTATTCTTAAATATAAGTAACCTTGTATTTATAGAGAAATTGTAAAAGTAACATGACTTGTAATGAGCCTATATAATACAGATTAGTGGGAAGTGCTAACTTAGAGGTTTTATATAGTATTTAACTTTAGTTTATAAAAGAAGAAATTTGAGTTGCTTTCAGTCTCTTTACAATAAAGTGTATGGTGAGAGAATCCTAACAAGCAACTTAAAAGCAAAGTAAACACATGTATATGATAAAAATTATTTTTTAAAGGTACAGCTGAGAACATTAAGTATTTGCTGTACAGTTTTTTACACTTAAATGAAAAATAAAAAGAAATAGATGATATATCTTCAATTGTTGATATAACTGGGGAAAGGGAAAAGTTAATACATGTGATTAATATACTGTAATCATGTAACTAACTATATAGAGATCCATTTTTCATAAGAGCCCTAATGATGGGGGTTATATTGGATTTATCTAATAGTTGATTGAAGAAAAGGCCATAATTTACAGCGGGAAGGAGAGAAGAGCCTTTTAAGCGCTTGTGGAGGATGCCAAATAAGTGTTTGACTCAAAAAGTTAGAACAAGTAGCTTTTGTTAACACAAGATAGGGAAATTATTGTCAGTCCATGAAGCCAGAAAAAGACCAGAATTAAGTTTGATCTCAGAAGGCAGTGTGGTGTTTGGGGCTCTAAAGTAAAATACACTGGTCGTTGTTTAAAGGAAATAGTCTTTTCATTGCATAAAACAGATCAAAATTGAGAGGGAGCTGAAATATGGAAATAATTTTCTGTAATTTTTATAAGTGTATGTATAAGGATATCAGACATTAGGTTATATGAGAGAAAAAAATATCAAACATGACTATAGTATAAGGCTTAAGGAAAAATATATCAGTACATAAAGTTTGGAAATTAGAAAGCATAGGATTTAAAATTTATTTTTGTTTGTTTTTCTTTTTCTTGTTTCACATCCTCTTATATCTCTTCTACTTTGTGGAAGGCAGTTCACTGTTCTAAAGAGACTAAAACATAGGCTTTGGTATCTGAAAGACTTGTGGTTGACATCCCAGCTCTGCTCTTTAAATTACTTGAACTTAACCAGTTGTAACTTTAATTTCCTCATTGTTATTTGGCAATAATAAAAAACTATTGGAGCAATGTGAAAGTTAAATATAAAGGAACCAGCTCATAAAAGATACCCAAACACTAGTCTCTCTGTACTCTCTACCTCCTGTTCCTTATCACCACAGATGAGAAGCCTTAGAGGAACTATGATAGTGATCTGTGAATTATTGTATGGCTGTTACACTAACGTAAAACTGAACTTTTTCTGAATGACCCAATGAGAAGAATTAGGGTTGCTAGCTAGAAGTTAGAAACAGATTTCAGGTCCATAAAGGAAAGAATAGTTCTAAGGATCAGGCAGTTCTTAAAGTGGAAAGGGACAAATGAGTCCCTGGTTGCCTTATCATTAATTAGAGGTATTCAGAAGCATTATATGGGTGATAGGATAGATGAAATTTTAAAAGTTAAATTTCATTTCTGTCATTCTCTGGTACTATGAACGTAAGTGGTAAGGCAGACCAAACATATGTAGAAAACAAGTAATGTAAATTATTTAAATTATTGTGATATCCTAGGGAAAGTACACAAATATGTATGTGAACATCCTAAGGGATAGTGGATATATATAATCTAAACTTTAGTTTTCTTGATGATTTGGGGAATGATTTTTTTGTCATATGTGATTTCAGTGCTCTTACTTCAGGATAGGAATCATTTAGTTTAGTGTATCTTATAGAGAGTAAAAGAGAGAATGGCAATAGTTGAGTCTAAAAAATGAGGTAGGTCCCAGCCGGTGTAGCTCAGTGGACTAAGCATTGTCCAAGAGGTCACCAGTTAGATACCCAGGTTGTGGACCAGATCCCCAGTATGGGGCGTGGGGGGGGGGCAATTGATTGATGTTTTTCTTTCAGTGTTTCTGTCTCTCTCCCCCTCTACCTTCCTCTCTATCTAAAAAAATCAATAAAAATATATATTTTTTAAAAATTAGGTAGGGACCACATTATGAGAAAGCCATGTAGGATATGTTAAGGATTTTGACTTTTCTTAGGGCCACAGAAAGCTGCTAGATTGCTTTAAGCACAGAGTAATAAAATCAGGTTTTCTTCTGTGATACAAGTTGGTAGGCTTTAACTTTGCCTACTTGCATACCAAATTTTTTAAATAAAAAATTGAGCACATACCCTTTGATGCACATGTGTGTGTTTGTGTATTTACATACACTAATACTTTATATGTGCTCATCTTATCACAAATTAAATTTTTTAAGATTGAAATAAAGATGTTACACACAATTTTATGAGACTGACGCACTACCTACTGCGCTAATGAGGCACCTTACATACAATTTTAAATGTCTTGTTAATCATGATCATTGCCGGTATCTTATTACACAGTGTAGACTTTGTGAAAGAATTAGTACTGATAGAAGGTATAAATCCATATTTCAAATGGTTTCTTAAGAATTTTTTAAAAATTGACCTGATTGCACTGTTTTTACCTTATAGTATAATCATTAAGTGCTTATACTAGTAAAAGCAATGTTAGTTCTGCCTTTGTTTCTTATTTGCTACTGCTTACATTTTTCATATTATTCTTACTCTATAATTTCTTAACAGTACTCATTTAAGTTAATTGTTCGTTTTATGAGTTACTTTATTTAAATTAGATAGTGTAGCCCTGGCCAGTTTGGCTCGGTGGATAGAGTGTTGGCCTGCAAACCAGAGTTGCAGGTTCGATTCCAGTCAAGGGCATGTACCTTAGTTGCGGTTCAGTCCTGGCCCTGGTCACGCGGGAGGCAGCCAGTTGATGTGTCTATCTCTCTCAATGATGTTTTTCCCTCTCTCTCTCCCTCCCACTCTGTCTGAGGATAGATGGAAAAATATCCTCTTGTGAGGGAGGAGTAGGTAGGTAGGTAGGTAGGTAGGTAGATAGATAAAATAGATAGCATAATTCATAATCAATAGATAATCTAATAAATAATGTAATAATTTATGGACAGTCTAACCTATAAATCTATAAAATTATCAACCCCAAATAGTTTTATAGGTTACTGTATATAACCTTGAAGCATCGGATAATTCCTATAACTCATTGACTATTTTAAAGAATAGAAAACAAATTTTGGTATAATCTTTATACCAAAACCAGACAATAGTAGCAAAAGAAAGAAAAGTTGCACACCAGTCTTACAAACCTACCTGCAAAAGTCCTAAATAAATATTAACAAATTGAATATAGTGAAGTATAAAAACATGATAAATAATGACTAGGGAGGCACAGATGATTCTGCATTTAAAAAACTTTTCAGCTTTTCCGCATTACCAAAAGAAAAGAAAAATATCGTTATTATAGATACAGAAAGAAATTCTACAAAAGCTGACACATTTATGATAAAAAAAATGCATATCAGACAAAGAATATATGACCACTTTCACTACCAGAAGCATCATAACGTAATGATTTAAAGTAATGAAGAAGACAAAAATGTATATCACTACTTTTTAACTTTTTATTAAAGGTTTTGACTTATTACATGATGAGAAAAATAGAAGTATGTAAATAAGCAATATTAAGCAATAGGTTATAAGGAAAGAATGAACAAAATTATTGTTGCTTATAAGCAATATGATTGTGCATGTAGAAAATATAAAAGAATATTTAGGTAAATTTGTAGAACTGATGAAAAAGTTCAAAAAATATACTAATACGATCAGTACATATTACTACATATCAGCAACTACCCAATTAGAAAATCCAGTTGTAAAAAAAAGTATCTACAACAGCAACAAAAGCAGGAAAAACATTAGAGCATCTAAGAATGAAAATAATAAACTGTTTAAGACTTTATAAAGAACATTATTGAAGAGTATAAAAGAAGTCTCCCAAAATGGATGGTTATATTTTGAATGAATGGGAAGACTAAAAGATGGCAGTTCATTTTTATTTATTTATTTATTTTTTATATGAATTTTTATTTATTTTTTTGTTACAGATATTTTACCTTTTTACCCCATTGGCACCCCCCACCCTATCCCCCCTCCACCCTGTCCCCGGCTTAGTTGTCCATGTCCATTGGTCATGCATACATGCATATAAGTTCTGTGGTTTATCTCTTCCCACCCCCCCACCCCCCATCCCCTCTTCTGAGGGATGTCAGTCTGTGCCCTACTTCCATGTGTCTGGGTCTACTATATTCCTCAGACTGTTATGTTCATTATATTCCGTATATAAGTGAGATCATGTGGTATTTGTCTTTTTCTGCTTGGCTTCTTTCACTTAGGATAATACTTTCCAGGTCCCTCCATGTCGTCTCAAAGGATAAGAGATCTTTCTTTCTTACAGCTGAATAGTACTCCATTGTGTATATGTACCACAGCTTTTTTATCCATTCGTCTACTGGTGGACACTTGGGCTGTTTCCAGATCTTAGCTATTGTAAATAGTGCTGCTATGAACATGGGAGTACATATATTCTTCCTGATTGGTGTTTCAGGCTTCTTAGGGTATATTCCCAGCAGTGGGATCACTGGGTCAAATGGAAGTTCAATTTTTAATTTTTTGAGGTAGCACCATATTGTTTTCCATAGCGGCTGCACCAGTCTGCATTCCCACCAGCAGTGTATTAGAGTCCCCTTTTCTCCACACCCTCGCCAACACTTGTTGTTTGATGATTTGTTGATGGCGGCCATTCTGACAGGTGTGAGGTGATACCTCATTGTTGTTTTAATTTGCATCTCTCTGATGATTAGTGATGTTGACCATTTGTTCATACGTCTCTTGGCCATTTGTATTTCCTGTTTGGAGAGGTGTCTATTCAGCTCCTCTGCCCATTTTTTAATTGGGCTCTTTGTCTTCCTTTTGTGGAGTTGTATGAGCACTCTATATATATTGGAAATTAACCCTTTATCTGATACATCATTGGCAATGATGTTCTCCCATACAGTGGGTTGCCTTTCCATTTTGATGATTGTTTCTTTTGCTGTGCAGAAGCTTTTTAGTTTGATGTAGTCCCATGTGTTCATTTTCTCCTTTATTTCTGTTGCCTTAGGTGATGTATCAGTGAAAATTCTGCTCCGTATGATGTCCGAAATTTTGTTGCCTACATTTTCTTCTAGAATTTTTATGGATTCACGGGTCACATTTAAGTCTTTTATCCATTTTGAGTTTATTTTTGTGTGTGGTGTAAGTTGATGGTCTAGTTTCATTTTTTTGCATGTAGCTATCCAATTTTCCCAACACCATTTATTAAAGAGGCTGTCTTTACTCCACTGTATGCTCTTGCCGCCTTTGTCAAATATTAATTGAGCGTATTGCCTTGGGTCCATTTCTGGGTTTTCAGTTCTGTTCCACTGGTCTATATGCCTGTTCTTGTGCCAGTACCAGGCTGCTTTGGTTACAGTTGCTTTGTAGTATAACCTGATATCTGGTATTGTGATCCCACCTACTTTGTTCTTCTTTTTCAAGATTGCTGTGGCTATTCGGGGTCTTTTTTGGTTCCATATGAACTTTTGAAGTATTTGTTCTAGTTCTATGAAATATGTCGTTGGTATTTTGATGGGGATTGCATTGAATCTATAGATTGCTTTGGGTAGTATGGACATTTTAATTATGTTAATTCTTCCAATCCATGAACAGGGTATGTGCTTCCACTTTTTTATATCTTCCTCTATTTCTTTTTTCAATGACCTGTAGTTTTCTGGCAGTTCATTTTTAATATACTTACAAATTCAATGTAATTCCAATCAAAATTCTGATAGGGTTTATTGTGAAAAATCACTTGCCAAACCTAAAATTTATGAGCAATACTTAAAGAGCCAAGAATAACTAAGTCAAAGGTGGTGAGAGACTTGCTCTAAAACATATCAAGACTTATTTAGTACAGTAATTAAAACAAGGTGTTATTGGCCATATATAAGTTAGTAGAACAGATTAGAAGGTCCAGAAACATTCATACATTAGTAGAATATTGGTATAAGACAAAGATGTCATTATAAATAGGGAAGGATGAACTATTCAATAAATGGTTTGGGAATAATTGACCCACATGGAACAACAAAAAAATAGGTGGATTCCTTACCTCACGCCACCCACTAAAGTAATTTCAGTTGGGTTAAAGGTCTAAATCTGAAAAGAAAAACAAAGTTAGAAAAGATTTAGGATGATATTTTAATGAACTCAAAAGAAGTAAGAATTTCTTAAGATGCAAAAGTACCAATTCGTACAACAATTTGGTAAATTTGACTATACTGAAATGGAACTCAGTATTATAAAAGTGAAAGTTCAAGCCTCAAGTTGGAAGACAGTATTTTTGCAACTGATATTCAAACTGGTACTATTCACCTAAAAAAACAAAGCTACAACCAATGAGAAAAACATAACTCCTTAAAAAAATAGGTAAAAACAGTTCTCATAACAGATTAATCAAATAACCAAAGAAAATGTGCTCAAAAAATTATCCTGCCCAGTCATCATCCAATATACAGTTCTTTTATTCTGTAGTGTAAGATACGGTAATTCAACCTAACTTGTAAAAAATTTTGTTTGACAGCTCTGACAATTAAGCTCAGATTTCTGAAACATCTGCTCTTTATATTTTTTACATCTGCAACAATATTTTGCTTTACAGTACTGTAAATATTTGTGGAAATTATTATATCTCCAAGACTTCTCTTTTTTATACTAACGTTTACGGTAGTTCTTTCCCATCTGCTACAGTATGAGAAAGTTTATTTCTTTTACTTACTAGTGCTGTAAATATTGGTTGATACTATTATGTCTCTGTAAACCTCTGTTTTCCTTGCAAATCTTTTTAGCTTTTTAATTCTTCATAACTCAGTTTCCATATTCCTCATTTTCCTTGCCCTATCTTTTTTTTTTTTTTTTTTTTATCCTCACCGAGGACATTTTTCCATTTTTTGTTCAGGCAGAGTGGGAGGGAGAGAGAGGAAGAGAGAGAGAGAGAGAGAAACAACATCGATGTGAAAGGAACACATCGAGTGGCTGCCACCTGCACAACCGACCAGGGCCGGGGACAAACTGCAACCAAGGTTCGCGCCCTTAGCGGGAACCGAACCCGGGTCTCTAAGGACCGCAGGCCGACGCTCTAACCGCTGAGCCAAACCGGCCAGGGCAAACTTTTTTTTTTTTTTTTTTTTTTTGATATGTGCCCCTAGCAGGAACTGAACCCGGGACTCTCTGGTCCACAGGCCACCGCTCCAACCGCTGAGCCAAACCGGCCAGGGCGTTCCTTGCCCTATCTTTCACAAACTCTAAACTAACTTAAAATATAGTTGCCCCTAGGGAAACATTTTCATTTGCCTCTCTATTGCACTTTCTAGCAGGTGTTTTGATATTAGAGATATTTCTTTTTGTACTTTCAATTTTGCAGATTTGCATAAATACTCTGAACCTCAGAAACTGGGAGGAACTAAGTCACGCATTGCCTGTACAAATGGTTCTTTTTTGTCCTGGCACACTAAGTTAAAAAAAACAGGTAGAAATACCATTGGTGTATCCAAAAAGTTTTTTAATTTCAGTTTTACTCTGGGGCCAAAGTAAAAACTTCTCCTGAATTTTAAAGCACAGGAAGAAATTTTCAGCTTAGAGACCTGTATCATTATCATGACAACCAGGAAGGGTTTACCAATCCTAGACCAAACAAGATCAAATGTGGGCAGAGATGAAACCACAGCACTTCTGTGGCCTTGTTGCCATTGTTTTGTTTTGTTTTTACCATGAGTTTCAGTGACAATCCTGGTAAAACTTCAAAATAGTAAATTTTTCACTTCATTATAATTGTTTCCATGCTTACCTCCCCACTGTAATCTACCCTTGAGAGAAGAAACCAGTCTGTTCACTTGTATACCAAGTGCATACATGATGTATGACATGCTGGATTTATTGGATTGAAAATCTTCATTATTTTCAAATGCTGCTGACAACTAAAATGAGATTTGATCATTGAATTTCTGATTTTTTTAGCATTAACTTATTTTAAACATCTTGGTTGGAAAATACTCTGAAATATCATTATACTTTCTTAAACGATATGTCATGATGAAGATTAATTATTGCACTGCCTTGTAATGACTTGACATTTTTAGAATTATTTCCCTTAGTCTAATTGGCAACAGATAAGTAAAAAAATTTTTAAAGAACTACTTCACACTGCTATGGCTATAATATGCCAGTCATTTTCTAGGCACAAAGGAAACAATGGAGAACAAGATAGAAAATGTTTCTGCCCTCATGGGACTTATATTCTGCTGGGGTAGACAGAAGATAAACAAACAATTAAATAATTTCAAAAAGTGATAAGATCTGTAATGAAAATCAGAGACAGTAACAGCAAAGAGTAATAACAGTGGCAGGCGGGAAGATGTTATGATGTTGGAATAAATGATCAGGCAAAACCTCTGAGAAGGTGATTTGTCCAGTCTACAACCAGTAAATGGTAAGTTTGTGTTCATTATTCAGAACATATTCAAATATACGAAAAAATACAGCACAATAATCTTGTTCCTGTCACCCAGACGTATTACATCCTTTCATGTATTCTTGGAAGCAACTACTGATAATACCTATTTATGCATCTGTAAGCAAAATAGTTTTGTGTGCTTTAAAAATTTATGTAAATACATACTAAACGTACTCTTGTTGATTTAGTATTGCTATTTGCTTCTCTTACTCATTAGATTATCAAAAATTAAAAATCTCAAAACCATCAGGTATTGTCAAGGATACAGGAAATTTGGTAATATCTACTAAAGTTCAAATGTACATGACCTGCTGTCTGGCACTTCCACTTCTAGGTGTATATCTAAGAAGAATTCTTATACACAAGAAAACATTTGGAAGAATTTTTATTTCAACATTGTTTACAATTGTAAAAATCTAAAACAACCTAGATACCTACCAGTAGGTGAATGGTAAATAAATTTCAGTCTCTCCCTTTCTCTGTTTTCTACTTACTCTATATTGCCCTAAAGTATTTAACACAATACATGTTTAGTTTTTATCTATAGAGTTAATTATTAGTACTTTGGAAATATATACACCAAAAAAACTATCTAGTTATGATGTAATAGCTCCATTGTGAAGGAGTGATGCTGTTACATGTCACCATTTAGCTCATCAACAAGGGCAAAAAATTGCCCTTTATCCTCCACTCCTGATCTTCCTTTTTCTTAATCCTCCTTCCCAAGCTCTCTCTCCCCTTCTCATTGTTTTTACTTTACTAATTCGGATAGTCATAGGGGTAACTCATTATGATTTTCCTGGTTCTTGAGCTACAGCCTTTATGATAGGAAAAAGAATTATGGTATCATAAAATGCCAAAAAAAATGTATAGGTGATAATACTGCTAACAAAAGTGAGATTTTCTATAGATAACTAAAATTTATCTAAAAATCCTTGTGTATTTATGAATCTTGTATTCACTACATAAATGTTCATTGATTAAAGGATTTTACTGTGTGGCAGAAATATGTTAAAGGAATATGTTTTCCATTTTCATTACATAATAGACTATATAATGTGTTATTTTAGTTAGCAAATACTTTTTAGGACAAAACTTCTAATAGGGGCAACCTAAGTAAGGAGAAGGGACTTCTCACCTGGCTCACTGTTCAGAGTTCCTAAAGAAAAGGAAGCAGGAATGTAGGCCTGATTTGGGTAGCTCTCTTAAAGATGAAACAGGGCTTATTCTCAGGTTCATCCTCAAGATTAAAATTAGATATAACCAGGGCTGTCAACCCAGCAGTCAAGGAGTGGTCCAAAGAAGACAAGAATACCTTTATTGCCCTAGCCAGGGAGATACAGCCTAGTTTGCATAGTTAATGTAAAGGATAGAGAGAAGGGGTTTCTTGCAGCTTCTTATTTCTGGTTTGTGGAATTATTAACTCTAGATAGACTATATTAAAATTCTAGAAGAGTTTAGAATTGAACTTTTTTATTAATTTATTCTGTAATTTGACTAGAAATAACAGATTTAAAGAAAGTGTGTTTTACATGCTATAAACTACAAAACACATGAGCAAAATCAAAACTAGTGAATAACATGAATATGGATTAGGTAGTCATTTTTTGAAGGAGGTAGTCTAATAAGGTCTTGAAATAGTAAAATTTTAATTGCTGAAGAGAAATGAGATAGTAAAAGAAAATACATTTATTTATGTATTTAAATTTTAATAGGTTATAGCACTCTACTATTTATGAAATAAAAATGAAAAGGTTAAGATCACTGACCTTGAGGAGTTTAGTCTCGTGGAAGAAAAAGATACATGAATCGCCCTGGCCAGTTTGGCTCAGCGGTTAGAGCATCCACCTGCGGTCCGGAGAGACCCGGGTTCGGTTCCCACTAAGGGCATGTACCTCGGTTGCGGTTTGTCCCCGGCCATGATTGGTCGTGCGGGTGGCAGCCACTCGATGTGTCCCTTTCACATCGATGTTTCCCTCTCTCTCTCTTCCTCTCTCTCCCTCCCACTCTATCTGTACAAAAAATGGAAAAATGTCCTCGGGTGAGGATAAAAAAAAAAATTAAAAATAAAAAAAGATACATGAATCATTAATTGAATGAGAGTGTCATAAATGTTATAGGATACTGTTGACTCAAGGGAGACAGTAATTAGTCTCCACTTGGGATCTTGATCTTTAAAGATGAGTAGGAGTTTGGCAAGTTGAAAAGGTGGAAAGAGCATTCTAGGCAGAGGGTACCATACACTGCAGTTTGGGAGACCTGACACCACATCACATGTTTGAGGAACTACAAGTGGTTAGAAACACAGGAAGTGTGTGTGAGTTGGAGACTGAGCATAAAATTGAGTTGGATGGATACTTTAGGGCAAGATACTTCATTAACAATTTTTGAAGATACGATGTACCATATACTTTGTTTACCTGTCCATTCTCCCCTTTTACAGTTTTAACCTAGGCGTTTTAACCTCTATAGACATACTGAATTTTTTTCCAGTTCTTCAAAATTTTATTGAACACATATTGTGTGCCAGACACTATTCTAGGCAGTTGGTATGCATCAATCAATAAAATATCATGGTTTCTTCCTTCACATAGCTTATAGTCTGGTGGCTAATACTGGTAAGTATATA